ACGGCTGGTAAACAATCGGATCAATGACTGTCTTTTTGTCCATAAATCTGTTGGGATCGAAACGGTTCGGCTCTGACCAGTACTCCGGGTCTCTATGCAACTGAACGGTCGGCACACGTATGTCAACACCCTTTGGGATAACGATATTCTTGTATTTGTAGTCATTCTTCGACATACGACTCGTGAAGATGGTGTCCGTCGGGTAGAGACGGAACGTCTCGCTGATCACGGCGTCCAATATCGGCAACTCTGACATCACATTGAATGCAAATTTACCGTCTTTTTCGTGCAAATCGTTCACTTCTTCGTAACACTTCTGTTGAATATCGGGATTATTGACCAAATTATGGATCGCAAAGCCAATCAGATTGGCCGGACTCTCGTACGCGGCCTCGTGTAGGACAACAGTGTTGGCGATGATCTCCACGTCGTTCAGAGTTTTATCAGTATTTTTGTTGGTGTTGTTGCGGACATCGATCATCATTTCCAGCAAATCCTTACGGGAATTCTCGTAGGCTTTCAGCCTATTGTTGTTATTGTCGACCAATTTCTTGCTCTTGTTGCTTATCAACTCTAGCCTATTCTTGACAATGGCTTCGCCCGCCTTCCACAGCATGCCATGACTGGTGTAACCAAAATAATCCCAAAGGGTTTCGCATATGTCTCGGATTACGTTAATAATGGGCGTCAGTTCCGGGAAACACAGCAACAGTGAGGCCAAGAACTGGCGATTCGGACGGATATTGAATACACCGCGAGTGGCCTCAAAGAAGGGGTTATTCTGCGGCAACCGGTCCTGAATGTCGGTCGTTATACTGAAACCGGTTCTGTCGATGATATCAATGGTCGCCGCCTCCACTCTCTCGTAGATATTGAACTCTTCGTCCTTCGCGGCCAATGTGTCCAACTTTTTGACCATATCGTCGACACAGAGATTGATGACCGGAGTGTTGGCCTTCAGATGCATTGAACTGAACCACGGGCTCAATAGTGTACGCATTTTCTTCCATCTCAATGAGTCCACACGTGTTACCTAATGGTTAACATTATGGTAAATAATATGTTAAAATATGTTTCAAAACAATTTGTTTAATATTGTCTACAAATGATGTTTTGCTTACCATTTCATGATATTTCCAGTTGTGGTAAATACCGCCGGGTATGACATACGGGCGTTGTGTGAAGTGCTGGAAGTCTTTCACTTGAATCAGTTTCATTTAATATTGTCTACAAATGATGTTTTGCTTACCATTTCATGATATTTCCAGTTGTGGTAAATACCGCCGGGTATGACATACGGGCGTTGTGTGAAGTGCTGGAAGTCTTTCACTTGAATCAGTTTCAAGAGTTCCGGATCTGTGACCACGAGAAACGGTTTTGCGCCCAAATAGTAGCCGAAGACTCGTCCGTATTGTGCTTTCCATTTCTCAAAGCAAACATTATAGCCGTATGTGTTATAATCGGTCATATTTCCAAAGATGAGGTGTGGTTTCGGGCCAGGGATGCCGTTCCGCTCCAGAACCGACATCCGTTGCTTCCGTTGGTAGTAGAAAAATGCCAAAGCAATGCACAGTAAGCCTATTATTAACAGCATTTTCAATAGTTTTGACAACTTTTATAAACTTTTTAGACTTTATTTTAAATGTTTGAATGATTTCAAAATATACTTCGAGAAGAAGTGTTAATGAAAACAGCATTTTGACACTCATTTATATACTGTAGCGTTGATTGTGAATACAGTAAATTGTATAGATTATATCAGTACACAAAGAGTTTATCATGATAAATAATACATGTTAAATATTTGTGACAAAACGAACTTGTTCGTTCAGTTTAATTGAAAAAAGTTCATATCTTTATCCATTATCCGTTCATACATTATGCCAACACTTTCTTATCATTCATATCGGGTGTGGAATATCTAAGTTTGAATTACACAAAACTTATACAACAACTACTTTATAGTGAACGACATATCCATTGCTAAGAATTCAGGATTTTAATTAGGAATCCTTTGGATTCTACTTGCTTATATAAAATTGTCAAAATAATAATAGGACCATGGTCAATGATAAGTTTTTAAATTTATTTAAAACTTGTTAGTTAATATAATTATGTTACATTGTACTATTTTGCTACAATTTGTTATACAACAAACTTTTTAATTCTATGAACATTTACGTACAAAAAGTCATAATGGATGTCTAAACACGTGAAAAACACTTATGGTTATCTGGGAACATTGGGAACATTTAAGGCTAAATCAAATCAAATATTGCCATATAAATGGATATTTTGTGGGAACATTAGGGACACATCCGACGTTCAAACCATTGCGAGGACATTGTATAACGTTTTTATATGACTTTTCGACGATATGATAGACATATAGTTATCAATAAACTGATAGGTCTAAGCGATTACCGCAAACAAACGGTCGCCTGTAATAATATTATCATTGATAGCATAGTATATGCAAGCTTTCAGCTTAATTTAATTAAAATTTTATAATAAGCATAATCCAATATGAACTGTTCTAGAAGTCAATAGGTGCTATTTAAATCACCATGAATTCATAACTAATAACTAAGCATAACTGCACTGACTGTACTATTAACCTAACTGCTATGGACTTAAATGTGTATGGTTTACAGATTACCCCCATGGTTAGTTGCTAATGTTTGGCACAAAAGTGCATCCTTTTCATGTATCAAAAACACTTATAAATGTTGATAAATAGTATAAAATTTGATTGATTGGTAAATTAGTAAATAACACAGAAATAAGTAATAATTGCATAATACTGTTTGTGAGGATTATGAAAGGCATTATGTATTGCAGTATTGGCTCCTATGATTAGGACTTTTGTCCTAATGTAATAATATATGAATTCTTGTTAATTTCGCATTAATTTTATGAACGTGTTGTATGTTTGGATTTGTTACACATGTTGTGGATTTAAAAGTGTCAATATTTGTCATAAAGTTTGTTAACACTTAAAGTACTGAACAGTATATTATTTATATTGTAAAGAACGTTTTATAATACCTACTGTATAATAGACTATTATTAATAGTTTATTATTATATAATAAGTACTTTAAGTCATAGATTAATATTATTAATTAGTTAACATTTAAATTATTTATGTTTTCTTTATATAACATTTAAAAGTTTATTAAAGACAACGAGTGCTAAGTTAGAGCAAATAAATAAATTAAATGTATTTTTAAATTAATTTATGCAGAGCAAATTAACAAAATATAAATTACCTGAAATTGCAATACAAGTCACCGACAACCAAAATATGTGACATTGATTTTGACGATTATAAATGACAATTACAAGAAGTGGCTGTCAATCAAATCAATTCATTATCTATTAATTCTGTACTTTTTGGTCAAATATTGCACTCATTTGTTGTCAGTTTAGTAAAGATTACATATTTTTCAATACAATGATAATTTTGATTATTTAATTATACAATTGGCATAAACTGCTAAACTAATTCTGAACGACTCAAAACAACCTTTATACTTATTAAGTTGCGATACTATGGACCACGATCGGAACTATACAGTACACCCAGCATTTTACATCGGTGATATTTCTGTCCAGTTATGGCTTATTTATTAAGCCAATTTATTAAGGCATTAAACGTTAAAAATAGTTATATATTTGTGTGTTTAAAGAAATGAATTAGGCTGATATATTTAAAAATTAATAATTTATTGAGTTTAAAATTAAATACATTATTTATCGTGTTTATTTTTTGTTATACAAATAGAGCGAACAATAATTCAATTTAATAAATTATAATTACAAATATATATACATTTATGAAAACTTATATTATATTTACA